ATGCCCTCAAAATTCTAAGGGAAAACAGTTGCTAATTAGAATGCTATAGATACCCAGCCAAACTAGCAGCCTGCAGCAGGAGGTGGGGGCAGGTGCAGTGGGGCGGGCGGGGGCCGCAGGTGCATGCAAGTTATAAAGGGAGGTGCGTCTGGGTTTAGGGTCTGCCTTTAGTTCAGGTCGTGACCCCGGGGTCCCGGGATCGAGCCCCTCCTCCCGCTCCCTGCATGGAGCCTGCTTCTCCCTCTGCCTGGGTCTGTCCCTGTCTCTGTGTGTCTCTCCTGCATAAATCAATAAAATCTTTTTTTAAAAAAAAAACCACTTTAAGAATATATACGGTTGATTCATTAGCATTGAAGTCATGCCCAGCAGCACCGTAACTCAACCTGCACAAAGCTCTTCTAACACACGTATTTTCTCTGTGAGACACATCCCAGCAGGGGCGCCTGGGGGCTCAGTGGGTTAAGTGTCTGCCTAAGGCTCAGGTCACGACCCTGGGGTCCTGGGATGGAGCCCCGCATCGGGCTCCCTGCTCGGCGGGGGGTCTGCTTCTCCCTCTGTGCCCGTGCACGCTCTCTCTCAAGTAAGAAATAAACTCTTTAAAAATATATGTGTGCGTGTGTGTGTGCGTGTGTGTGTGTGTGGTTAGAAGGGTCTTAGTTGTCATTGTTAGAGAAAAGCAAAGAGAAAAAATCCAGATAATCTAAACTGGACTTTGGAATGAGGCTGCATATTTACATAGCGAAATGCTGTTCTCATATTCCAGACACATTGAAAGAACCGAACAATTTTTAAAAAAGAAAAAAACAGGACATATCGCGGCCTCCTGGCGCGCAGGAACCCCGGCAGCCCCGCGCCCCGCGCCCCGCTCTGGGGCCCTTTCAAACCGCGCAGTCACCGACCAGCAGTGCAGGGAGGCCAGGAGCACACCCAGGGCCACCGCCACCGGGACCTGGCCGCCCCCCACCGGGCCCATCTGCGGGTGACGGCGGGGCTGCCAGCACGCGTCCTAACAGGCCGATTTGCAGGCACGGAATCCACCGGGGGGACGACCGGCCGTATCACGGTCACCAGTTCACGGCTGGTGTGGCCATGCGTGGCAGAGGCATGGTTCGGACCCCGTGGGTCGGGCGTCCACACCCAGGGCCCCCTGCACCCCGTTCTCCGGGCCAGGCCTCTCGTTCCCTAGATGAGGCCCCGAGCCCCAAAGCTGAGTCGCCTGCAGCCACCCGGGTGTCAGGGCAGCTGGGGGGCTGCAGCCTGGCCCTGGACTCGCAGACTGTCCCATTTTCTCACAACAGCACCCCTCCTTTCATGAAGTGCCTGAGCCCCGGTGTTGCACCCTCTTGCCTCCCATCCAGTGTCTCCCCCACTGCCCCCAGGGGCCTGAGAACTGGATGGGGAGCGGTGAGCGCGGGTGGCCACCCTGGGAGGGGGAGGGGCTGCGGGCTGTGGGGGGGTGCAGACTGGGGGTGCCCTGGCCCCCACGTGTCCCCCGCTCCCCAAGTGCGCACGGAGCCCTCGGCAGCCCCAGTGGTCCTGGAAAGGGACAGGAAACAATGGGGTGATTGATGCAAACGCGCCATGAAAGACAAATTGTTCAGATGCAGCGCATTCCGGGCTCCTGCCAAACGCGCAGGGTGTGTGGAATTTCAAGGAGAAGCTGAGCAGATCTGGGCCTCGGCGGACCCTGGGCCTCCCTCCCTGGACGGCGGCAGGCTTGGCCCGCGCTCCCAGGGCCTGTGGGCTGGGGGCAGGGGCCGGGGAGAGGCGGCCTGGAGAGCCACAGGGGAGCCCCCCTCTCAGGCGGCCTGGGCCCCCTGGATCAACTCCGCACACCTCCCCTCCTACCCGCTCCCCACGGGCAGGAACCCCAGGGCTCCCACTTGGGTCTTACTCCCGGGGTGGCCTCGGGTAAAGCTCCCACGTCCTCAAGCTCCACCAGAAGCTGCCCTGGGGAGCCAGTCTGGAAACCCGGAGCTTGCTACCCAGCCCCACCCTGCTCCCCGAGACCCCCAGGTGACCCCGGCCCCAGCGCTGGTTCTTGGTGTCAGCTCCGGGCCTCCTCCCACCCCAGGATCTAAACTTCCGACCACCCTCCAGGGCCGGGGAGGGTGGAGCAGGATCTGGAATGGAGGCCGGCACAAGGGTTCCTTGTCCTGCTGGGCAGGCTGACACCCGCCTGTCCTGTCCCCGAGGAGGTGGCTCTCTGGGACTATTGTCTTTCTGTTGAGAGTTGGGGGGGGTCCAGTCAGAGCCCATCGGGGAGGGACCAGAGTGTCCAGGCTGACACCCCAGCCCACTTCTGGAGTGCTGGGTTTTGATGCCCCTTCGCAGCCCCGGTGGTCTACACGTGTGCCGCGATCTATTCTGAGCGGGCAAGCATATCGTTAATCTCATGCCTCTGCCCCAGGCCCCTTCCTCCTCCTGAAAAACCTCAATTCCCATCTTCTGTCCTCACAGCTTGCATCCCATCCTTGCTCCTTTGCTGCCTTATTACATGAATTATTCATGATTCATACCATGCACCTAGCAGAGTACTGGCCCACATCTAGCATTCAACAGACTGCAAGTATTGCCCAGCCACCACCCTAGGTCACCCAGGGTAGGGATCCAAGACCACCCAACCTTTATCCCAGGCATATTCCAGTTTGGGTTTGCTGCTTCTCCTGCTGGCCCTGCTTTCTGCTTTTCCCCTGGTGCCTACAGCATCTCTTTGCTCCGCGCTGGCCGGTTCTCAGCCCTGCAGCTCTGGGTTCCGACCCCAGCCCCAGCGTCGTACAATCACTGTGTGATCTTGAACAAATTACTGGAAGTCTCTGCATTCTCATTTTTTTTTAAACCCACGAGTGAGAAGGATCATCTCTGCTCCGAGCAGTGGGAAAGATTAAATAGGATGTATTTATGAAAGCCCCATGAAATTTTATTACCGCCACACACAGCAGAGAGATTATTACCACCTCGAACTTGCTGATGGATGGCCTCCCCACCCTCCTGCGATAAGGGTGTCTGCTTCCAGCTCCTCTGAGACTCTGATAATACTTATCCCTGAGGTGTGTGATTTCCTAACTTTACAAAACATTTTCACACCCTTCGAACCACTGTAACTTTCCCAAATGAATCCAATGCCAGGAGAGGCAGAGAGAGAGGGAGAGAGAGAGAGAGAGAGGATAATTTTGGACAGCTGGAAACTTTCAGCATTATTCAGGCCATTTATCAGAATTTATTATCAGCCGAAGATAAACAAAGTCCCTACTCCCTAGACACATGCAGTCTGGTGAGGAGAAAGCTAAGTAAACAGATTCCAGCAGCCTCGCCCTGGGGCCAATATGGGTATTTCCAGCTGATCCTGGTTCATCCCAGAGCCCTGTGCAGTTCAGTCCTGAACAAAGGCCTTTTGGATGCTGGTGATGACCACAGAGGAGGCTCATGTGCTCGGGGCAACCCCCTTCCGTGGTCGTCACCGGCCAGCCCTGGGGGCAGCCCAGACCCTGCCCCTTCCCGGCTCCCGGCAGGATGGGGGGCTTGAAGCCCTGCAATAAACAGGACCGGGGCCATCTGCCAGCGTGACACGCAGGAGCCCAAGCTCGGGCCCAGGGAGTGGAAAGGGTTAAGTCCACAGGATGTGCCTGGGACCCAGCTGTTTCCCCATGTGGCTGGGTGGGGGATTTACAGCCTCCCCCGCAGGGGGCTACCGGGCAGGGGCTGGGGAAAGATGCTGCTCTCAGGAGAGAAAAGGAAGATTCCCCCCTCGGAAGCCAGACTGCCCTGTCATGCAGCCAGGGCCTCCCACGCAGGCGCCAGCGGAGGGGAGGGCCAGGAAAGAGGAGCCAAGGGGTCCAGGAGAAGACAGGGCTGGACTCCCCGTACCGGGATGACCAAGGCAGAGCTGGCCCTGTCCCTCCTGGGCCTCCCTCATTTGGAGACAGGAGTTAGCGGCAGAGAAGCGGGTCCGGAAGTTCAGACTCCAGCCTTCAGCTTTTAGAGGAGAATATGATGTGGGGGAGGGGAAGGGGCCGCTCTATGCCTCAGTTTCTCTCCTGGGCACAGCCTCCAGGGTCAGCTTGACAATGGCCCTCAAAAACGTGCTAATTCTAATCCCTGGAACGTGTGAGTTTTGTCTTATACGGCAAAGACGTTGGAAATGCCGTTACAGCAAGGATCTTAAGGTGGGGAGATGATCCAGGACTACCCAGGCGGGCTGCGAGTGTCATGACAAGGGTCTTCATGAGACGGAGGCACACGGAGACTGCAGACGGAGGAGCAGAGGGCAGCGTGACCACGGGAGCAGGGCATGGAGGGACGCCGCCACAAGCCAACAACACCCGGCGCCACAGAAGCTGGAAGGGGCAGGGACCCAGCTCTCACCCGGAGCCCCCCGCGCCGGGGGGAGAACGGCCTGGTATCAGCCCAACGCTGACTTTGGACTCGTGGCCTCCAGAGCTGTGAAGGAACACATTTCTGTGGGTTCAAGCCACCCAGGAGATTATTCTAGCAGGGAGCTGCTGGTTGTGCTCCTCTGGCCTGGTGGGACGAGGAGAGCATGTGCCTGGCCTGGCTCCTTGCAGAGTAGTTTTTTTTTTTTTTTTTTTTTATTGCGTTTGGGTAATTTCTTTTTCTAGGAGATCATCTTCCTAGAACATGGGATAGCACTTTCAGTTGGCCGAGGACATCATCATTCCAGCCTGGAAACACTCCAGAATAATCCCGGAGTAGGAAGGTAGATGTCCTGTGCCCAGCAGGCCAGCTGGAGATGGTGCACTGCCCCAGGAGATCCCCCTCTCTTCCCTACCCCCTGCTCTCAGCTTTCTGGTGACTCATGAGGTCTCCCAAACCACTGGGCTGAGCCCTGAGCATCTTCTCTGTGCTCACCCGGCACCGTCCCACAGCCCAGAGCTCAGGAATCTTGGGGTGACCTGACCCCCCCTTTTTGAAAAAAGCAAACCATCAAATCTGGGGAAAGGCAGGGAGATAAGGACAGAGAGAGATTCTAGAATCTCAATCACTCGGCAAACATTAATTGCAGTCTTGCTGGGTGCCAGGCGCAGGGCCCGGCCCCGGGGGGAAAAGGAACGTGGTCCCTACCTCGAGAAGGAGGCAAGTAGACCAATGTCATGCCGGAAAGAGTGCGTGCCGGGCTCTGATGAACGCGAGCAGGGGAGGGGCCCCGGCCCCGACGGGGCATGAAGAGAATCAGGGGAAGCCATCCCGAAGGAGACGTCTGTATTATTTATCCATTGCTACGCAACAAATTAGCACAAACGAAGTGGCGTAAAACAACACACGTTTATCATCTCATAGTTTCTGCGGGTCAGGAATCCAGAAATGCCTGGCTGGGCCCCTGTCAGAAGTCAGGATGTCAGCCAGGAGCGGGGTCCCAGGGGAAGGCTTGGCGGGGGAGGAACCTGCTTCCAGCCTCACCCTTTTGGGCTTCGGGCCAGAGGCCACCCTCGGTTCCTGGCACGGGAGCCTCCCCGACATGGCAGTTTGCTTCGGCGAGTGAGCGAGGGCGAGGGTCCGAACGAGCCAGATGGAGAGCACAGCCTTATGGAGCCTAATCACAGAAGGACCCCCCATCTCATCCTAGTCACGAGGCCAATCTGCTCTCAAGGGGAGGGGTTCGTACAATACACCAGGAGGCGGAGACCGCTGGGGCCTTTCCGGGACCCCCAAACTGGGTCTCAAAGGCACAGCAGGGACCAGGGGGGTCGAGGCAGGAACAGAGACTCAAGGGGAGTGTGGAGCTGGCTTGGAAAGACCAGAGCAGGGCTGCCAGGGGAGGGCTCGCCTCAGGGAATCAACAGACGCTACCTGCAAATAGTCCAGGCGTTCGCACTGCACTGCACGCTCGCTTGTGTTGTCTTCTTGACCTCACTCGTTCCCACGGTATTCCTGGATGGAGGGAGGATCATTGTCTCCGCGCCACATTTCTGCAAACTGAGAGCCAGGTGCGGTAGGAGTGCGGCCAGAGGCCAGCTGCCCATGTGGGCTCCTTCTCCAGGGACTATTCTGATAAGGGGGGGATCGGGGAAAGTAAAACCCCGAGATACAGGAAATGGAGAAATAAGAGTGCCCTTGCTGCCAGACGGCACTCCCCAGGACTGCGGCACCTGAGGCTCCGTGGGTATGTAGGAGCTCGCAGCGTGTGTGTGTGTGTGTGTGTGTGTGTGTGTGTGTGTGTGTAACACCACGCTGCAGGCTCTGCTCAGTAACCCCTGACTAGGATCCTGGGCCTCAAACACCAGAGGCCAGGACAGCAGCCCTGAGCTCTTGATTGGCTGTCAGAGTCATTGAGCATCATTCCCTTGGCCTGGAAACCTCAGAATCACGATGGGGGGCGGGGAGGGGCTTACTGGAAACGCTGATTCCCGGGCTCCAGCTCGAGAGGGTTGCAGGTAGGGCCAGGGTTCTGTGCTCTCAACAAGCGCCCCGAAGGCTCTGACCATCTGCTTGATGTGGAACCTACTGACCTACTTCGACTCCTTTGTTTTACCAGTGAGGAGCACGAGGCCTGCCACTTGCCCAAGTCTCCGGAGCCAGGTATTGGCCCGTCTGAATGGGGACCCAGAGTGCCATCCCCTGGGCCCAGACTACCAGCATTGCCACTGACAGCCATCTAGAGGTCCCCTCCGTGCAGCCCACCTGACTACACACCTGCTCTCAAGGGGAGGGGTCCCCCCCGTGCAGCCCACCTGACTACACACCTGCTCTCAAGGGGAGGGGTCCCCCCCCGTGCAGCCCACCTGACTACACACCTGCTCTCAAGGGGAGGGGTCCCCCCCATGCAGCCCACCTGACTACACACCTGCTCTCAAGGGGAGGGGTCCCCCCCGTGCAGCCCACCTGACTACACACCTGCTCTCAAGGGGAGGGGTCCCCCCCCGTGCAGCCCACCTGACTACACACCTGCTCTCAAGGGGAGGGGTCCCCCCCCGTGCAGCCCACCTGACTACACACCTGTCTAACATCTTGCAGGCTCTGTTTATTTGACGTGTGCCGGGAGATTGCCCCGAGAGGCAGGAAGCCCCCGACAGTTGGCGCAGACATGCACACAGCCACACACACATAACCACTCACACACAACATCACATTTGCTCTTTCCACGGTCTTTACTGAGCACCTTCTATATGCCAGCCACCGGCGTAAGGATCCAGTAGTGAGCACGGGAAGGAAATACAGGGCCCTGCCCTCCTGCACGTTCCAGGATAGGATGATAGTGAACCTGAGGGGCTGCACCAAGCAGCCAGGGCGTGCCCAGGCTCAGAAGCAGCTGAGCAAAGGAATAAGGGGCTGGCTGCTGAGGTGGGGTTCACCCATCACCAGACTGTGCAGGTGGCCCTCGTGGCTGTGGAGCTGGGAACCCAGGAGGCACTGGGCAAAGCAAGATGGACCCAAGTTCCCCTATATGCTCCCAGGCATCCCTGACCTTATCATGACCTTTTATACTGAAGGTGTCTCAGCCCAGCCATGGGTGCTGACAGCAAAGAGGACTTGTAGGCTAGTCGAGAGGAGCCCCCAGGTACCCAGCAGAGGCCAAGGAGAAAGGCCTGAGAGACAGTCCCCTGCCTAGACTCAGTCCCCTGCCTAGACTCCTAAGTGGCCCGGATGCATGCATGCCCCAGCCTGCCAGACAAGGACTGGGTAGGAGCATTAGTCTATCGAACCCCAGACTGGGTATTCGCTCGGGGACCACAGCTCAGCCACGCAGAGGATGCTTTCCTTCCCCGGGCCTCAGATTTACCATCTTATCTATCAGGAAATATTCCAAGCTCTTCCTGTTGTGAGAAAACAGGATGGTACCGGAAGGTTCCTTGAGAGCCAGAGCGCTGGAGACAAACACAGAGGGTGAAGATAAACATTCCGGGACTGAAGGGTGGAGACGGTGGGGGGGGGGGAGCTCCAGAGACCTTGCCGGGAGAGGGGTCTGTCCTGTCCTGCGGGAGAGATAAACTATTCCGGGCTGGCCCTGCGCGGTGGACCCCCGGACTGGGAGAGGCGCCACTGGCGCGTGTTTGGGAAGTGGCAGAAGCACAGAGCCTGACGTCTCCCTTTGCACAAAGAGCCGAAAGCTCCAGACTGCAGCCCTGCCCGCCCCAGTCAAGTGTAATGAAGAGCCGCTGCGGCTCCTCTTGGCTTCCGCTGCTGCCTCCGTGAGCACTGAGCACGGAACTCACCTCCCTGGCGGCGGGGGCTCAGCCAGGGGCTCCCCGGGGCTGCCAGGCCCAGCTCCACGCCCTGCTCCGTGGGCTCAGCCCCCTTGTGCCGCTTGCTCCGCTCTCCTGGCAGGGGAAGGGGCTCCTCTGGGTGGAGGGCTCCGAGCCACTGGAGTGGAGCCCGGGGAGCGGTGCCGGCGGAGATCATGAGGGCACAGCCCAGTCAGGACAAAGGGACCTCGGTGGAGCATGGCCTGCTGTCTCCATCCTCACGCACCGGGAGGTCCCAATGGCGGGAGGCACCGGGATGTCACAACTGCGTCTCGGGGCTCAGAGTTGGGAGGCCTGAGTCTACACCGGGCTGCTGTCCACTTCTCTGAGCGTCAGTCTCCCGGCCCCGAAGGTGGCCACTTCTCCCAGAGGGATGTCAGCCTGGGCCCGCTTAGGCCACGCCTGGAAGGCCGGGTATTGGGACCCGTAAGAGCTGGGCGAGCCTTGGCGGTTTAAGTCGCTCATTTACAGCTTTCTCACCGGGGGTGCGTGTAGGCCGGGGGCGTAGGCCGGGGGCTCATCACAGGCCCAGCGCAGCGCAGCAATCAGGCCGCCGTGGGACCACGCGTTACTGTGCAGCATCCAGGTGCCTTATCTACCTTATGGCGTTCCCTCAATTAGTTCTCGCCGTGATCCCAGGAAGTAGGCTATTATCATTCCCATTTTGGTGAGGTGCCAACTAGCACTGCCAGCCAGAGACCCAGCAGGGCCTCACTCACGTCTGTGAGGAGGGCGGGGCTTTCACTGCCACCTGAGGGCCTCCACGTGGATGGCAGGAGGCTCGGGCCCCACGTGGGCACTGACTAACCAGTCACTATCTCCTCATTGGCTCCCACCTTCCCGTCCCATTTCCACCGTGGCTCTTGGGGCCTCGGGACTTCCTAACTGATTCCCCTGCTCCCAGGGTCTCCCTTCCCCAAGACCACCACCGACACCCCTTCTCAAACCCAGGGCTCACCCCACCTCCCCTGCTCTCCAGGATGGGCCCAGCCATTCCACTCTAAGAAAGCTAATTTGACTTCAAAATAGTAAGAAGGAAGGAAGGAAGGAAGGAAGGAAGGAAGGAAGGAAGGAAGGGAAGGAAAGAAGGAAGGAAGGAAGGAAGGAAGGAAGGAAGGAAGGAAGGAAGGAAGGAAGGAAAAGAAGGAAGGAAGGAAGGGAAGGAAAGAAGGAAGGAAGGAAGGAAGGAAAAGAAGGAAGGAAGGAAGGAAGGAAGGAAGGAAGGAAGGAAGGAAGGAAGGAAAAGAAGGAAGGAAGGAAGGAAGGAAGGAAGGAAGGAAGGAAGGAAGGAAGGAAGGAAGGAAGGGAAGGAAGGAAGGAAGGGAAGGAAGGAAGGAAGGAAGGAAGGAAGGAAGGAAGGAAGGAAGGAAACAACCAGAGACACAGAGGTTTAGATATGCAAACATTTATTACCACCTTGTATATAACAGGAAAAAAAAATGCAGGGACACCCAGGTGGCTCAGTGGTTGAGCATCTGCCTTTGGCTCAGGTCATGACCCCAGGGTCCCGGGATCGAGTCCCACATCGGGCTCCACAGGGAGCCCGCTTCTCCCTCTGCCTGTGTCTTGCCTCTCTCATGAATAAATAAATAAAATCTTTTAAAAATTGCAAAGAACATGGTGTGCAACAATAAGAGACTCGTTAGTCAATAAATAACACTAAATATAACAATAACCTACAGGCATGAAAATGCTTATTTAATGTCATGGCTTCATAACACAATATATTATAAGTACAAAAAAAAAAGCTGGGATATAATGAACCACACATAGTACGACCCCATGTGTGAAAAATAATCGCCTTTCACATCATATATAATGATTACACGTCGCGTATCTACTCGTGTAGAAAGAAACATAGAGGGAAACACACCAAAGAGTCCACGAAGATCATCTCTGCCAGATGGGAGCGTGAACGGTGACCTTTGTTTTCTTCCTCACAACGAGCTGTCCTCCCACATTTTTCTTCAAGGAACACGTTTTTGAAATAAAAACGAAGGGGTGCGGATGCGGTACGCACAGAAGCCTTGGGATGGGTTCCCGCTGCCGACGGATGAAGGCGGACCCTGGCCAGGCGGCAGGCTCCGGGTCGGCCCACCTGCTCTGTGCTCGGCCCTCGGGTTGTGTGCAAACCGACTGTGTCTCCCGTGCCAGTCCCCATCCTCCCGCCGGGCACCTTGGCACAGGTAGTTGCTGCCCCTGGCAGGCCTTGCTTCCCTGCCTCTGTCTGATGGAAGCCCATCCTCCGTTCCAAAGACCACCTGCATCCCCGGCCCACCTCACAGCCCTGTCCCCACCTGACGGTCCCCTCCCCTCCCCTCCTTGCCACCCTCTGTGCCTCCATTACCTTGGGAGATTGTGCGGGCTTCTGTACCTGTGCGGCGGAAACAGGTGCTCAGCAAAGGGCCAGGCTCAGGTGAATTGCATCGCGGCCAGGGTCCAGCAGAAGCGGAGGTGACTGAGGAGCCCCTGCGGACGCCGGGCTGTCCTTCCTCCTGGCAGCCTGCGGTCGCCTCCACAAACAGCAGACGCCTCCCGAGGCAGGGCTGGCAGTGCCCCGGGGCCATCGCGCTGCCGCTCTGGCCTTGGCCTCTCCCGTGGGCCCTCCAGTGGGGCCAAGAGCCGTGGGCAGAGCTGGCTGCTGAGCTAAGCGGGTGGGAGAGGCAGCGCTTCCTGTCCCTAGGCCGGGGCGGAGGGTGACCCACCAGCCCAGGTTGCCCAGGACTGAGGGGTTTCGTGGGACACGGAGCTTTCCGTGCTTACACCAGGAGGGTCCTTGGTCGCCCTGGCTGGGTTGGAGCCCTCCCTGTGGGCCTCTGGACCTAACCCTTTCTCCCAGCTCCTGGTCAACTTTGTCCCGGCGAACTGTGGGTTCAGTCAGTCATTCACTCCTCCGGTGAGAGTGAATCCTCCCGTGTTGGGTTGAGAGCACAGGCTAGGGTCCCCCAGGCTGCACCACCCAACAGCTGCTCTGGGCCTGAACGTCTCTGGGCCTCAGTCTCTTCACGGGAGCTGTAGCACCTACTTCAGGCTGAAGCATTGCACGATGCAATGGTTGCACGGTTCTGGGATCGGCTGGCGCAGGGCGGGTGCGGCGTACCCTCTGCATGACCGGGAGCCTGTGGGTAGCAGACCCCGAGGCCGCAGGAACATACGCCCGACAGGTGCTGCCCGTCGGCCGACAGGCAGACAAGCACGCCAGCAACTGCCAGGCAGGGTGACTAATGGGCGAGCTATGGCCACGCGGAGGAGACAGCAGATCGTCAGCCCGGCTGGAGGCAGAGCAGGGGAGGCTCCTCCGAGGTGGTGAGCCAACGACGCAAAAATGTGCGGGAGGAGGGAGGTGCAAAGGCCGGGGAGTGGGGGGCAGCCTTTGCCAGCCGGGAATGGGGGCGACTGCCTGCGTCGGGACCCGCGTGCGGGCCGGGCCGGGAGGAGCAGCAGAGCCCGGCTGCGGCGAGGGCACCACCGAGGAGCCTGAGCTCGCTCCGCTGCCCTGCGGAAGCCCCTAGAAGGTGGAAGCAGGATAAGGAGTTGCTTTCTGGACACAACAGGCCGTGGGCCCGCGGCCGCCAGAGACCGGCCCTGGGCCTGTGGGACAACTGCCCACGGCCCCCGCGTGTCCCCAGACTCCGGGAAGGGCCGGCCGGCAGAGCCGCGCACCCTAAGCCCTGCAGGCCTGTCCTCACGGCCTCCCGGCAGCGCTGCCTGCGGATCCCCTCCGGCTCCTCGCACCACCTTCCCTCACCGCTGCCACGGGCTCACTCTTGCCAAGCCTCAGCCCCGGCCTCAGCTCACCCCGACCTGAGCAAGCCCATCCTTTCTCCCCTGCCTCCCCGCCCGCAGCCCCACGGGCCTCCGGGTTGCTGGGCCGGGACTTGCCCTTTCTCATTTTCCCATCCGTGACTCACACGTCGGGGGAGGAGGGGGGGTGAGGCCAGGGCTCCCAGGGCAGCCCCTCCCTGGCCGGACGGCGTCCTCGGGCCCAGTGGAGCAGCTTTTCCATCTCATGCATGTCTGCTGGCACCGTCAGGGCGTTTGTGCCCCCAAAGAGGCTTTGACCCCACCCTGTGGTCCAGCCAAGCATTCCTAGGGTGAGGGCTATGCTCCATTTTTAGAATTCAGTTGCCAGAGCAGTGAAGACACCCCTGAACCCATGAAGCAGGGTGTCTCCCTCCCCAACAGAGACAGAGATGCCCCAGAGGTCACATCATCTTTAAAAAACTAAATTCTGGGGCCCCTGGGTGCTCAGTCGGTCAAGCATCTACCTTCGGCTCAGGTCAATCCAGGTCCTGGGATCCGGCCCCTGCATCAGGCTCCCTGCTCAGGGGGGAGCCTGCTTCTCCTTCTCCTCCCACCTCCCACCTCCCACCCCTACCCCTGCTCATGTTTTCTCTCCTCTCTCTCTCTCTCTCTCTCTCAAATAAATAAAAACTTAAAAAAAAAAAAACTAAATTCAGCACGTTGCGCCCCCCCCCCGCCCCCCGCCCCATCTCTGTGCTGAGTTCTTGGTGCCTTCGGGAAGCTCCGGGATTCTTCCAAACGGCAGGAGTGCTCTCCGCACGGCAGCAGCCACCACCTCTATACTGTATACCGGGGCCTACGGCCTTCTAGGCTCTGTGCTGAGGGTTCCGGCTGCAGCACACCCCTCGCAGGGCCTGGGATGCTCCTAGCAAAGGGAGAAACTGAAGCTGGGTTTGGGCAGGAACCAAAGCATAGTTGGAACCCACAGGGCTGCGTTCCTGAAAAGCAGGGGGCACCCAAGTCAGCCTCCTCCTCCCTGTCCTCGGCTCTGTGCGGCCCCTACCCTTGACACCCCGCATGGCTGTGCCCCCACTGCCCTGAAGTCAAACTCCCAGGATGATCCACTGAGACCAACCCAGAGCTGGGCACAGAGGGCAGAGCCTGCCGTTCCCCTGGTTGCTCATGCCAGCTCCGCAGGCACCAGCTGGCATTTTGTCTCTGCGCCGGACTCTGGGCTCCTGGGGGCAGACTGTCCCTCATCCCAGCATCACCAGTGCCAAGCACAGTGCCTGGCCCGTGAGAGGCCTTCAGGATGAGTTTGGGTTGCCTTGCATCTCAGTCCCATCGGCTCCCACTCTCCCACCTCCGAGGGCCTGGCTGCGTCTTTCCTTCCTTCACGCTGGAGTCCCCGCCGCTGGTCACCTTTGGGCTTGGTGGGAAGCGCAAGGATTCTATCTTAGAGGCCAGCGTGTTGGACGGGGAAGCCAACCTTCCCATTCTCGTGGCTCCACCAAGGAAGGGGTAGCAGAGACCATCCGCCCACGCCCCACGCACGCCTGGGCACCCCCCCCAGCCAGGGTGGACGCCCCCGTTGATCACGGCAGGCCAGGGGAGCCCGGATCGTCCTCGGCACTGCTCAGGGTTGGCACGGAAGAGGACGCTTCCTCGCCACGCCGGGATTAAGCTACTCATGAGACGGATATAAAGCCTAATGAGGTAACGAGGGAGCTGTTTGTAACAATCCGCTTGTAATTTGTAAGATTTGTAAGTTCTTTTTCAACTGTGAGATGCAATCCGGGTAGCAGATGAGCAAGATGCTTCTGAGGACTGAGGTATGGGGACAAAGGAGAAGACGGTTTTGGCGGAACAGCAGCAGAACCGCGATGGGGGAACAAAGAGGCTGGAAGCACAGAGCTCCTTAAAGAGACGCCGGCCCGACTCATAGTCCCTGTGTAACTCAGGCAGCTATTTCTCGGTTACTTCGGGTTCTCCTGGGCTGAGATTATCCCTCCTAAACTGCCCAGCAAGGAATCCTTACGGCACAAATGTAGGAAGCCTGAGTATATAAATGACAGGGAGACAAACTCTGCCCAGAACACTGAGCCACCTCCCAGGATGGCAGGGGTGGCATGGCCTTCTGGAGAAGCAGCACCTACGCAGGCCGAGTGGGCCGATAGGATACCCCTCCTTCCCAGGACCCCTGAGGCCATGCCTCCTGGGGTTGCGACGTCTCCCTCGACCCAGGCTGGAGATTTCAGAATGAGCTGTGGAGTGGAAAAGCAGGGGTAGGAGAGGGATGTTCCGAGCACTGGGCCTCTGCCGGCAAAGAATTCCACTCAGCAGTGTAGTCACTGCCCTTTGTAGGGCATCTTCATTTTGGGATAGGCATGAAATGATAATGGCCAGACCCCCACCCTACCCCCACCACCTCCAGGCCTAGCACCACAGTGGGGGGAAGAGGGGCAGGAGGTAGGGGAAGAACTGTGCAAAGAGAAGGCCTGGGTGAGTGGGGGTCCCAGAAGGACCCAAGCAGCAGGAGAACCTCCACGTGTGGGCCTCGGGGCCCGTCAGCTCCCCCCACCAAGGTGAGTCCAGAAGCGATGCCAGGGTGGTCCCTCCTCTGGGTCGCAGGCTGGCCTCCCGAGTCCCGAGGCACCAGCTGAGCCCCCCACGAGGCAATGTCCCCCTCCAGGCACGCCACCAAGCTGGGGACTCACAGCAGTCTGCAGGACAGATGACGGGGTGGCTGGGGAGGAGATGCTCGGATGCCGGCTCTCCACCGCGGGATAGAAGTCAGGCCTGTGGCTACAAAGCACTGAGCTGGGAATGTCCCGAGAGTCAGAGCATCCAGGGGCTGAATCTTCATCCTCAGCCCCATGTGGCCTTCTGGTCTCCTCCCCGGGCCCCGTCCATTCCTTCAGCTCCATCGCCTCCTCCACACGACCCTGGCTCCTGCCTCGGCATATGCAGCACAGTCATGCCCCTGAGAGCCAACAGGGCCCGGAAAGCTGGCAGGAAAGAACAGCAGTTAGGGCAGGGGCAGACCCTGGCGTAGGAAGTCCAAGCTGTTTGACACCAGAGCCTCCCAACCTTCGCCACCTCAGGAGAAAGGGAGAAAATCACGTTTGTCCAACACACTGTGACCAGTGGAGGAACCTGCTTCCTCCTAGTTCCCTTGAGGCCTGAGCGATCAATATGGACCAGTTCTCGGTTCAGCAGATCTGTCTTCTCCCAGCCTCTCAGCTAACCCTCAGTCCGGTCAACAGGAGGGTCCAGGGGCTGTACGGCGCCAGAGGCGGCTCCCAGGCTCGCTGGGACTACTTGGCAAGGTGGAGAAGCCGTAGGGCTGGAGGGCGAGGTAGTGTGCGAGGGGGTGGTGAGGGTCAGGGGGAGAGGAGTTTCCACCGGAGAAATGAAAACCCGAGAGGTACAAATCCTTCCTCGGCCCGGCTCCTAGTTCCCACGGGGAGGGAGTGGCATCTGGGGAAGCGGGCACGGGGCTGGGAGCCAGGGCTTCTAGGTTCTATTCCTGGTCCCTCCCCTGGGCCTTCCTGACCACAGATCCGCCCCTCACCCCCTGCCCTACTGCTCAAGGAGGATTAAGACATCACAAATAACAAACCATGACCCCATCCTGCACCCGTCCACCCACCCTGTCCCAGTTGCCCACCTCCTTCTCCGGCTTCTGCTCTGGCCCGGCTGAGCACTGGCTGGCGCTCAGGGGCGGGTAGGCAGGCCCACTCCCCTTTGGCATCAGCGGCCTGCCCCCTCCCCAGTACTCTTGGTCTGCCGGCAGCTCAGCCCCGGGACCCAATCCCCGCTGTCAAGATCGGGTGCTGGAGGCCTGGCCCCGGCCTCGTCGGCCTCGTCGGCCTCTCCCGGAGGCCTCCCCTGGGAGCTCGGTCCTGTTCCCAACCCCTAGTGACTGTGCTAAGAGAAGAGGACGACCTTTCTGCCCCGATTCCACGCTCACACTCTTTCCGGAAGACTGCTTGTAGCACAGGGAGGGGGGAACGTCAGTTCATCGCACCCCTGGCCCGGCCTGCGCCCTGACCCTGAAAGCCATGGCCGGGAGGGGTGCAGCTGGAAAGCCTCAAGGGCGTGTTCAGGCCAGACCCCTCCACCTGTGCCAGGGCGGATCCAGCCTGCAGGGCCCGGCCCTCCCATCTTCCTCCCGCCCCCTGGGGCACCCGGGACCCTCCGGGCGCTGCTCAGACTCCTCCGGGGCTCCTACTCCTTGTCGGCCCTGGGGGGCTGGGCTTTGACGGCGAACGCTGGGGGGGGTCCCTCGCTTCTCCGTGGGGCGAAGAGAAAGGAGAGGCGAGAAGGGGGCTCAGTCCCAGCGGCTTACCTGCCTGGACCTCCGGGCGCCACGTGGGGGAGGGTGCGGCGCGGGCGCGCGGCCGAGGCGGGCTCAGGACACCAGGGTCCCGGGCCCGAGGCTCTGCCTGGCGCGCACCGTCTGGATGGCCTGCTGGTTCTTGAACTTGACCAGGCCCAGGGTGATCTGGGCGTTCCAGCCCGGGTCCTCGAGCGGGCAGCGGAAGTCGATCTCGCCGCCGCCCTCGGTCACCAGCGTGAAGTAGATGTGGCGGCCGGTGCTCTCCACGCACTCCACGGCCTTGATGCGCGCGAAGCTGAGCTCCTTGGGCCGGCCGCCCGCGCCCTTGGCCTCGAAGAGCTGCAGCCCGCGCTCGGTGAGCACGCAGCGCTTCCGCTTCCACAGCTGCAGCAGCCCGCCGCTGCGCTTCTCCAGCACGCCCTCCCGGAGCACCGCCGCCGCCGTCATGGGCGCCCCGGGGTCCCGCTCGGCGGCGCGTCCCGGCACCCGGCCGGCTGCCCGCGCGCCCCGCCGCCCGCGCCCCGCCGCCCGCTCCCGCCGCCCGCTCCCGCCGCCCGCTCCCGCCGCCCCGCCGCCGCCCGCCGCTTTCCCGCCCGAGCCCCGCTGCGCGCTGGCCCCGCGACCGCCCGCTCGCTCCGCTGGGCTCTGCCTGCGCGCTGGGCGGCAGCTCCAGGGATGTGCCCTTACATGCCCCGCGCTCGCCTCCTGCGCCGCGCATTCCTGCCCCGGCCCGCCCTCCCCTCCGCGCCGCGCACCGGGCGGGGCCGGGCTCCGGGGGGCGGGGCCGGGCTCCGGGGGGGGAGGGGGAACGAGGGATGGGGATGGGGCCAGGCTCCGGGAGGAGGTGGGAGAGGGGGTGGGGGCGGGGCTGCGGCGGGGGAGGGGGAAGGGAGGCCCCCAGGGGGCGGGGCCGGGCTCCGGGGGGCGGGGCCTGACTCCGGGGGCGGGGCCTGACTCCGGGGGGGGAGGGGGAACGAGGGATGGGGATGGGGCCAGGCTCCGGGAGGAGGTGGGAGAGGGGGTGGGGGCGGGGCTGCGGCGGGGGAGGGGGAAGGGAGGCCCCCAGGGGGCGGGGCCGGGCTCCGGGGGGCGGGGCCTGACTCCGGGGGCGGGGCCTGACTCCGGGGGGGGAGGGGGAACGAGGGATGGGGGATGTGTCCAAGCTCCGGGAGGAGGTGGGAGAGGGGGTGGGGGCGGGGCTGCGGCGGGGAGGAGGGGAGGCTCCAGGGGGCGGGGTCAACCTCCGGGGGCGGGGCCAGGTTTCAGGGGGAGGGGCGGGGATCGGGGCGTGGCCGGGCCCGGG